ATTTGTTAACGCGACGCAGGCTGCTAGCATGTGCCTGCAACCCGAACAGGTTATCGTATTCCAGGACTAGAGCCCACATTATATGCCTCCGGTAGCGCGGGCGAGCGGTAGCAAGTTGAAGGACATCCCATGGCATTTTTTTTGTGGGCTCTGGTTTCGTCTTACCCCTCGTCCTCTTGATGACACCCTTCTTTTGTCTTCCCCCTCATCCTCTTGATGACCCTCAATTGCACATCAGGTTGTCACTCCCGCATTGCTGCACGCAGCTAACGACATCGCGGCCCTTCCGGTCAACGAGATCGGCACCCACGAGACAATTGTCTGCAAGGTCACCCGGAAGTCGAGAGCCTGGATCAAGCTATCTGCCGGCGGCTTTGGTTCCGCCAACGCCCGGGCCTTCCAAGAGAGGTAAGCGATGATCCCAATGACCTGCATTCCCGGAGTTACAGTGGTATTAGGGTACGTTAGCGTCTCCCACAGAAAATATAGATTAGAGTTAACCTCCGTTATGGTTGCGACAATAATATTTTCTATCCGTACCATACGTGTTTTGGATGTCATGATGGCTGTTGATGAACATGTGTAGCACACATGTGGAGCGACAAACAACTGATCCGAAACGGTGCGCACCCCCCCCTCTTCCTCACGACGGCCCGGCCCAGCCTATGGTACAACTTGTTCCAGTTCATGACTGGACCGTGACGCTGCACGGCGGCGATCCTTACCATCCCCAGCTCCGACTTCCACAAGCCGGAGATCATGCGCTTCTTCGCCCCTTACTACGTCGAGAAGGACAGCCTCGTTGTGCCGGAGACCCCGGCGGCAGACGTTTACGTCCAGGATGATGATCTTGAAGCATACCTCAACGACATGTTTTAATGTTTTGCGTGCGAGGGGCGGGGCCATGGCCGTGTTGATGGTATATGGCAGGTGCCCATGGAGAGTGCATCTCGAATAGCATCGGTGCATCCATCTTGTCATGAAACCTCCACTATTTGCGGGAGGTGTTGGCGTGGGCCGGCTGTGAGCTACGAATCCGTGTTTCATAAACCTTACCACTGGTACACGTTAAACGAGAAGTTGACAAGTCATGTTTTTGTGGCCGGGGGATTTGGATGGATAATTAATTTAGCGTGATGGGAGTGGTGCACGTGGGTAGCTGTCGTCGCTGCATCGAGATTGGTATGGCTCGAGCCTCGCGTCTTGATATTTCCGTATCTCATGCATGGTCCATCGAAGGAAAAGTCTTCGGGGCAGTTTTTCCCGATGTTGTAGTTTCTCACAAAGTACCTCAATTTTTTTTGGTTTTCAGTTTATTCCATCTCAAGAGAATATTCGTGGCAGTGTTCATTGGGTGTAAGTTACTCAGAGTCCTTCGACTTTTCTTTGTTTTAATTTATTCCATCAAGAGAAAATTCATCGCGGTGGTAAGTTACTTAGGGTCCTTCAACTTTTTTTTTAAAATTTATTCCATCGAGAGAAAATTCATCGTGGCAGTTTTTCTTGGGTAGTAAGTTACTCAAAGAGTCCTTCAATTTCTTTTGTTTTTAATTTTTTTCCATCGAGAGAATTTCATCGCGTTGGTTTTTAATTGTTCCATCGAAAGAATAATTCTTCGTCGCAGTTTTATAGATATTTATCTTTCTACGATGGAATCAGATAATTCGGGGGAGAAGGTTTGGCATTCATTGCCAGCTAGCTGGCTATGCTGGGCACATGGAGCGTGTTCGTTCGTGTTATGTCGAAGAAGCATTATAAATTGCGTGCAGCATTCGGCCTCTGTACGTGCAATCGGTGACGTCATCATGTACCCTGTAGGGGAGGTATATATTGGGTGCCTTGAGGTCCCCTCATAGTAGCAGTATCATGCAGTACGTTGTTTGTTGATGGAATTGACGCGCCGGAGCTGTACATGTTACGAAGGGATGGGGAAGCAAGGAAAGGCACGGATCAGGGCGGGGGGCGGGGGGGTGTCAAAAGGCGACATATATGGCGTATATGAGCTTGAGCGTGTTTGTACGTCTAGGAGCACTACAGTACATGCTGCTGCAAGGGACGATCAGGGAAAAACAAAAAAAAAGACAAATGAAACAAAAAATACAAAGAAAATAACCAAACAAATGTCGAAAGGAAAATATCCCAATTTTCGGCCCCGTCAGTACCACTTGGCTGACACGGTCTCCACAGGGTTTTCCCAGGGTGTGCACCCCGCCAGGGTCCCTGAGTGGCAGGGTACGTACAGGGTGTGGGATCAGTACCCTGGCAGGGTACCCACCCTGTCATTGGGTCAAGCCTGCAGCGTAGTCTTTCCAGGGTGACCTTGACAGGGTGAAATCTCCCCACCCTGGCAGGGTAGCCGAATGGCTACGTGTGAATTCTTAAGCGTTCGTGCGTTCATACCATCATGCGCTGTCACGTAGACAGAACGCGAAGATGTGACAGTCCTTCGCTGCAGTCCTTACTACCTTACTAACATGGAGGCTTGGGGCTTGACTCCCGCGTGTAATCCATGGAACCTGACATTTCGACACGACGAACTCGTTCGCTCGTTGAGCAAGGAAGGCGTGTATGGCGCTGGCCCGCGGCGTGTGCGGGAGTGAACGTGGTTAGTAGGCCGACGTGCTTGTTCCGAGTTTCCACTACTGGCGCATCGAGTCTGCACTGCTGGAGCCATCACGCAAGTTGAAATCAAGCGAGGTGATTCAACATTTGCATGTTCATGTGGCTGGTTTGTTCAGACAGCAGTGTGTGCAGCAGCGGCCACTTTGCCGATCAGTTGCGTCCAGTGGCACAATAAGACGAGAAGCGGCCATGCCTCTCCGACGATTTACCACAACATATCAGCCTGGACGGAAGAGAGGAGGAAGGTGGGCATGGGTGAGCGCAACGTCAACGCCTAGCATGTGCGGGGAAAAGGGTAGTTGCTGCAATGTTCTCTCAGTCTCGATCCAAGTTTGAAGAGTTCAACATCACAAAAATGAAGCGATTTGTGCCTAGGTACACAACGTCCTGTTCTCCATAGTGAGGTGCTATGTTCCGTGGATCTGTAGATGCTTTAGTCGGTCAACAACAAATAGCGATAGAAAGTGGTCAACACGCCACACGCCGCTAGGACTCAAATCGACAACAACAATCGTCTGCACGACGGTTATTCCACATGTATTAACTGTTTTTGCGACACCGCGAACCGTGCTCGAACTGTGCCAGACTACTTGAAAATACTAAAGCACGGTTCCGGCACGGTTCAAACCCTATAAGGTTATACTGTGCCAAAAAAATGAATGGTTCATTGCACAGTTCACTTCCCGGTCCCACGCCCCCTGTAGGTAGCCCCGATACACTGCACAGCAAAATCTATGGGGGGGAGGGCAACTACAACAAAGTGCACAGTTCATTGCACGGTTCCACGCCCCCTGCAAGCTGCATCTAGTATGCTCCCGGAACTTTCTCACGTTCTTGTTGCATCTCGTGCGACACCTGCGGCAGGTTTAGCTAAGAAAATGCGAAAGGAGAGGGGGGAGGGGGCGCTGGGGCACCCGGGATGGAAGCGTCGGATACGGCGAAGAAAAAATGTCGTGTCACAACTAGGAGGCGGCGCGCATTCTGGGACAAGTGATGACCCGCATCCAAGGGAACGAAAAAAGCTGGGAAGTACGTCCGTACTCGTGTTATTTGGGCAACTGCTCGTACAAAGCCTACAGATCTCACTCCATGAAAATGCATGAGATGACACATAGGGGCGAAAAACCACACGTGTGCGACATCGGGCAGTGCAGGAAAGCATTCACACAGGCTTCTACTCTCAGGAGGCACAAGAAAACGCACGGAAGACTGAAAAAAATATGACCATTGCTTACGTGTGACGTCGATGGATGCCCTTACACTACTCGGCATCCTGACCAAATTAAGCTACATATGAGTAAGACATAGAGGCGAAAGACCGTTTTCGTGTGACACGTGCCCCTACAGGGCTTTCACCAAACACGAGATGGTAGTGCACCAAAGGACACACTCGAATGAAAAGCCCGTTGTGTGTGACTTCGAGGGGTGCGACTACGCGTGCTCGCAAACCACAAATCTGAACACACACAAAAAGACTCACACCATCGAGGGCCAGATTCGTCGCAAGAAACAAGAGAACCGCCTGAACAAGCTACTCAAGGAGTGGTGCTACACAGTCGACTGCGAGACAACCATCAACGCAAAAGCTGGGCAGTGTCTGACGGACACCCAGCGACACTTCTCGAGGCTGGATTTTCGGATCGTGGAGTGCGTCAACGCCATATGTATCGTTGAGTGCGATGAGGACCAGCACTTTTGGTACAATCTATCGTGCGAGATGAGCCGGCTGGCAGACGTTCGTGCGGCGCTGGCGCTGGAAGGGTACACACTGCCGACCTACTGGATTCGCTACGCCCCCACGGGCAAGTATTGCGTGGAAAGGAAACAGGTCAAGACCCCGCGAAAGCAACGCGAGGTAGCGCTGAAGGAACACCTCGCCAAAGTCTGTTCTCCCGACTTTACGCCCACCAAACAAGTGTATGTGAATTACATGTTTTACAATTTGGTTTCATATGAGGATGGGCCCGAGATAATGCTTGATACTGGCTTTCCGGATGCAATGAAGGCTGTTGTGTCGTGGCATCACTAGCGGACCTCGTGGGTGCGATTTGACACGGATTGGCGGTTACATGGGCACCCCCCTGCAAAGTTTCATGGGCAGATTCGAAAGTGGTGGGGAGCTGTGCACCCAAATTTGTACACTTTTAGAATTTGGCAGCGAATGGTCCGGGGCGCGTGCGGCGGCGATTAGTGGAAAAGGGGCCCCCGTGGGTGTGACTTGTCACAGAACGGCGGTTGCGGCGCGCCACGCACGGCGAAATGGCCGCGTTTTTTGCGGAAGTGGACACAACATACACTGTACACCCGAGATGTGAGCCACAGCGACTATAATATACATGGACTGCTGTAAATAATGTATTGTTGTACAGCACTAAAATCGGCCGCCAGCGCCGCTACATGCTTCGATTTCATTTCTGATTTTTTGTGCACATGCGCATGAGTTAGGAGCACCATCGTGCAAAATTTCAAGGCCGACCACTAAAATGGTGCAGAGTTATGCTTACACTTTACCCGTAAACACTGCTGTACAGCTGGTTTCGAGCGTTAAAATCAGGATCTTCACGGATTAACTTGTAATTTTAGTATGTTGTTCCGCTAGGTCAGGCGCACTGCTGTATATTTTTTTTATGGTCAACCCATAATTTGGGGCTGAGATACGGGCCTAAACGTGGTACGCGCGGCAGGGGGGTCTCTAATTTCAAGTGATATACTGCCGACACACAGGCAGAACACCCCCATACCCACCATTCCGTATTGTTTGACCAGTGGGTTCGCGTGAAACCCACATAATTTGTTTTTTTGGGGAGGGGGGGGTGGGGTGTAGGCGGGAACGAGATATTTTACACCCGGTGTTATTCAACGTACAATACGTCACGTGCGCACGCAGGGGGGAGAAAACAGCAAACACGATAGGCGCGTCTAAAATAAAACTTTCTGCACGGGAAGGCACCGGCACACCCACATGGACGATCTACCGGCGTTCACGCAGCGCGCGGGCGAGTTTTGTGACCCATACGAGCGTGACCAAACGCCCAGCATGCGCGCGGCACGGCAGCTGCTGTGCACACACATCTCGCGTGCACACGTCTACCTGTGCACACGTCAACACGCACAGACACTCGTACACACACATTCCCTTCGCACAGGGTCCCCCGAGCACCCTGGTAACCGATCCCGCTGCTCCGCCGCTCGCTTCCGTTGTCGTGTGAGGCAGGACGAGCGTGTGATACAGACGCAGATACGCGACGGTCACGGGACTGTCCGGCGGCGGGACTGTTGGAAAAATATGGAGGCATTTTCAGCCAGAGAGCTTTTTGGGCATTTTCTCGGGCACAGCACCCATACGTAGGGCAAAAATTATGTTGGACCGGAAGAACAAAAACAAATTATCTATGTTTTAGAGGGGTAGAGCCGGGTAGATGCTGCCCTCCCACCAATCACATGTCGACTATGTAGGACATTATGTTGGACAGACACAGCTGATTGGGCGATGGCCACGATGGTCACGCCGCCGATGGAGGAACCTCCCGAGAGACACGGCACAGCAGCAGCACCCGAGAGACTTCACAGCAGCCACAACACAGCAGCACCCGAGACAACACACGAGAAACCAGCAGGAGCTCAGCAGCAGAGCAGACAAGTGGGCCCGCACCGGAAAGCGGGTCGATAACATGCAGGCATGGCGATTTGTTGCCACCCTCGCCCTGCTGGTTGGTCTCTTTGGAGCCTTAGACCTCTCCTTGCTGAAGACACGACAGTCCAGGCCGGCAACGTTGTGTTTTCGGCAACCCAGAGGCCCCGGTGCTGTGTGCCTCGCCAGACCACGCTAGCAGAATCCGACCCCAGTTCCTGAGCCCTTTCCTTGGCCCGGAGCCCTGGCTGCCAGCATGTGTCGGTAGGGCAACAGCAAACATCGTGGCAACAACAAGACGACCGCGTCCAGCTTCCCGAAGGCCCTGCAAAACCTCTTGGAGGATCCTTCGATTGCAAAGGTACGCATCCACCGTTGCAGACAAAGTTTCTACTATTGAGAGCAACCGCCGGGGGAAGTTGTGTCCTGCTTTTCTTTGTGCTGGCTCAGCTTTTTGTTACTTCGCATCTGCAGGTCGGCGTCAACATCAATTCGGACACGACGTATCTAGAGCGGGACTACGGGGTCGAAGTGGCGAACACGGTGGACTTGCGAACTTTCGCAAGACAGAGCTGGGTGGAGACCCCGTGTCGTTCACTGGCGGGTTTGACGTCTCACTTGCTTGGGAGACAGTTGCCCAAGGATCCGGTCGTCCGCTTGTCTCGCTGGAGTGCTCCCCTCGCTGACAAGCAGGTGAATGATTTTTTTTTGTGGCGCTTGTTCTTCTTTGTCGACTGCTTTACCGCTTGCGCCATTTTTTTAACCTACTCAGGTCATGTTAGGTGATGCCTACTTTCTGCTACTCCCTGATGTGACCGTTGCAGGTGCAGTATGCCTGCTTGGATGCTTACGCGTCCGTTCTTGTTTATCAGGAGGTGGCGAAGTTCCAGGATCCTATTCTTTCCCCTCCTCCGGTGGAGCTGCAACCCGGAACAAAGGTGTGTGGATGCAGTGTACCGGTCGTACCGAACTCTTCCTTTGTCCAGCACAAGAATGACGCCCGCAGCCGAATCTCATACCTGGGTCGACTTCAACATGATTTCCATGTGATATCGCCGTGTGTGTTCATGATGCTAGGTACGACTCTACAGCAAAAACCATGCCAGCTGTGTTGGTGTTGGAGAGGTACAGGACGATGAAATCGCTGCCGAAGCCTTGGATCGCTGGCGCCCTTCCGCACGGAGAAAAGGGCGTCTGACGCAAGTGGTTGTCATGCTGAGCGGGGTGTTCAAGCCTGCGGCGTACATCCCACACAAAGGTGCACCACGTGCGGCCTCGGGTGTGGGTCGCGTGACGATGAAAGACGCGAACAGTGACAAAGGTGACCGACTTGTGCTTTGGGACATCGCCCATGTTCGTCTCGTGAGCGACTGGAAACCACTTCCTGCGGCAGCAGCACCTTCAGCGAATGCGAATGATAGTGCAGCTTACGACGACAACGACCAGTTCTACGCTTCCAAGAGACCTCCGCACGTGGTGCACTCACAAGGTAAGAATGTCTCCCTCCTCTCTCCATTCGGTGAACAATGTGCCGAACAGCTGCATGCCCCCGGTTTCAGGCAAGATTTTCTCTGACCCGCTTTTTTACACAATATATTTTCTTTTCGCGTATTTTTTCGCAGATGATGAAGACCCGGACGACGGCGATGAGGACGAATACGATGGTCATGACTGCGGCGACATCGGTAGTTCCGGCGGCGGCGATCACTGGGTCGGGGCAGGGGGCGAGGCCGGGGGTGCGGGGGGCGGACCAGGCGGTGGGGGAGGCGGAGTCGGGAGCGGGGGAGGTGGAGCCGGGAGCGGGGGAGGCGGAGCCGGGAGCGGCGGTGATGTCGACATGGATTACTGGGTGAGTGAGTGTCAACGTGTGAGTGATAGCCTTTTCCTAGGCTGCTTTTTGTGCTGAATGTGCTCCTTTTTTCCATCCGGCTTTCCAACATCGTTGTTCGAATGTCCAATGTTGTGGCTGTTGAATGTTGGCCAAATGTTTTCAGGTAGGTAACGGGGAGTCTGCGCTGAAGGTTCGCCTGGATATCTTCCACGCACTCCAACGCGTTTCAAAGCTGTGCAAGAAGAGCCACGGCGCCTTCAAGCCCTTCATGGCTCGACTGAGAGATGCTTGCTTCATTGTCAACCTGGATGACATCAAAGAGGCAAGTGCTGTTGTCCTCGTCATCGTCGGTCGGATCAGTACTTTGACAAGGCTTCAAATGTCCACATATTATTGCGTGCGCCTGGTTTGTGTATCGTCACTGACGTCCAATTCCATTTCAAACTGCAGGTAGAGCAGGCCCTTGCCGGCAAGGGAATGACACCAGAAGCCGTTGTTGAGTACAAGGACAAGAACTGGACGTTCTTCGTTCGGAATTGTCGGCGGCTGGTGCCGGAGCAGAAACGATTGCTCGAGCGCTTCAATTTGGTGATTCGTCAGTTCCAGGACGTAGTCGATGCGAAATCTGGAGAAACACTTCTTCGGCCGTGTGCGAGGCAGGCCGTCGAACTGCTCCGCAAGCATATCGAAAGTGGCTGCCTGAGCGACCCTGAACGTGTGCCATTGTACTACACTTCGGGGAAAAATTCAGCGGGGATCACGACTCGTCGATGCGTTCGAGGCACCAACTGCACCGAGGTACCAGACTTATTCGCTGCACGGTATCCTTTTGCGTGTAAGCCCGTTTCTTGGTGAAATGCCTTCAGGATACAGCGTCATCACCTCTTATGGCGGTATTGAGTTTCTTCGCTTGGCGGTCAGTAATTTGTTTCGTGTATATGTAACCTAGTTTCTTTCCCGGCCTCCTCCATGCACTTGCCCTACAAGGGTTATCATCGCTACGTTCGCAGGCTGCTCTCAACTTACTGCGCGTCTCCTTCGCTGGCTCACTCCGTTCTTCTCGAGTTCAACTACCGTTGGAATGTTAGGATGGCTGTGAAGAACCGCGGCCTACCAAGGGAGGTTGGGGAGTTCTTCGATCAATTCGAGATTGAGATAATTCAACGAGAGACTGCTAGCTGGTACCCAGACAGCCCCTTGTTTCCTGAATGGGTCTCTGCGCTTGACGCAGCAGACACTGGTGAGCAGAGCGGCCTTTCTGAGAGCCTGTGGGGGCCTGCCAGTGGTGGGGACGTACCGAGCGAGCCTAGCGATCTTGTTGACGAGCAAGGGTTGGCCCAAAACGCCGTACCAATGCCAAAGCTCACGCATTCTGCGAAGAAGTACGCCCAAATGATGCATGCCGGCATGCCGGTCACGCCCGTTCATACTGGAGCAGAGAAACGGAAATATGCGAGCGAGCTGAACAGCCAACTATGCCGGGGCAGCCAAAGGGGAAGAATCAGAACTACCAAAACATCAACTTTGATGCCTGGGCCGTAGCATGGAACCAGCATTGTGCCAAGATCGAGTCTGGTCTTGTGGAGTTTGAAGCAGTGTATCGTAAAACCTCAGGTCAGCTGCAGTCGTACCACCAAAAGTTCCTTGAACGTGCTAACGCTCAATTTACGATGTTGCCTTTGCGCAATCAGCATTCAGCGCTGCGTGTGCACCTACAGGAAGGTGAAGAGGGTGCGGCTTTTGGTGATTTAGTCGGTGTCAGTGTCCCCCTTGCTGTTCCACGGAGTGTGGTCGTTGCAGGAGGGGGTGCTGCGGGTGGGGAAGACTTGAGGGAAGATGATTCAGAGATGGTGGACGTTGGTGATGACGATGAGGATGGCATTGGTGGTGGCGGCTTTGACGTTGGTGGAGGTGGGATTGAGGTACAAACCCAAGCAAAGGGGAAGAAACGCAAGGGGCCCCCGCGGGAGCCGCAGATTTGCACAACTTGCGGCCACCGCAAACAGCAAGGCTCGTACAAGAGCGCGCACGCTCACCCGCGAAACAAGTTGGGGAGCCCGCCTTGCAGTGTGCCACCAGGAGAGCGTCGGCCGGAGAGTGAGAGAACAGGAAGGCTTCAGCGGGGGCAGAAGTTGTTCGGCCGGTATGATTGTGCGAAGTGTTGCTCAGCGGATGGTTGCAAATATGGTGCGTGTGTGTTTGGGTTTCGGTATGGCATTTAGTACCAGTAGTGAGTAAGTGCACAATGAAGTGTGTGACGGTATTGTCTGGGATATTTGGGCGAAGTTCCGAACACCATTTATTGCGGGTGATCCCTTGGAAACAACAATACTTGTAGTTGTGTTGTTTTTTTGTTTTCTTAATATGACACAACGAATCCATCTCTATCCAAGAAAGTAGTCTAGGATAGATTGGCAGTGATCCACATTGTCAAGAGTTGTTGGTTTCCTCGCCCATCTCTACTCTTTGGCCGTGGTTGTTCGCGCGCTCTCTGATCTTGATGCTAGTAAGTTTTCAAACCAAATCACATGTACGTTTATCCCGACCAAAAAGGTTACGCATAGCAAGCCCAGAAGCGCTTATCCTCACCTCCACGAGCAAAGCCAACTCTACTGCTGACGTGCACCGCAACAACTGTGTTGTATGGGCACCAAAACAACTGTATACGTGCACCAAATCAGCGTGTTTTTATGCTTGAAATTCTCAAAAAAATTCGCGCTTCGCGCGAAATAATTTAATTATCTTTTGTTGGACCCCTATGTATGGGAGGTGAGCCAACACGCACAGACACTCGTACACACACCTTCCCTTCGCACAGAGTCCCCCGAGCACCCTGGTAACCGATCCCGCTGCTCCGCCGCTCGCTTCCGTTGTCGTGTGAGGCAGGACGAGCGTGTGATACAGACGCAGATACGCGACGGTCACGGGACTGTCAGGCGGCGGGACTGTTGGAAAAAAAAAGGAGGCATTTTCAGCCAGAGAGCTTTTTGGGCATTTTCTCGACACCACATGCTCCGATTGACCTCGGGGTTTTTTCGTTCGATTTGTATGACCACGGTGCGTGCTGTGAGCGCCGCTGGCGGTGTGTGGTGCTGTTCCGCGCGGCAAACAATTGCCCGACCCGAGTTCGATTCCCACTTTGTTGATTTTGGAAATAATGCGGCACTGACAATAAAAGGTCGCCAAATGATCGGATTGCCCCATTTGTTTTTCAAAACTGCTGTACGGGTCATATGCATGCGCCTGCGAAGTTTCGTGAGTATGCGCGCATTCGGCGATGAGTTAGGTTCGATAGAAACTAGACTTCGGCGTGAGTATGCCCAGATTCTTCCTCAGAAACGGTTGACACCAGCTGGTTGACACGCTTGTGCAGCTGCACCCAATTTGCACCGTGAACACAGTGTGTGACATGGTGCTGTGGGTAGAGTGCAAGCATAGCAAGCTTGAACACGAAAAAAAATACAGGGGTACTATCTGCTGCAGATAGATATTATGTACTGCTGTAAATACTGAAATCGGCCGCCGGCGCCGCCACATGCTTTGATTTCATTTCTGATTTTTTTTTGCGTATGCGCATGAGTCAGGGGCACCATCGTGCAAAATTTCAAGACCGAACACTGAAATGGGGCAGAGTTATGCTTACACTTTACCCGTGAACACTGCTGTTCAGCTTGTTTCGAGCTTTAAAAATCAAGATCTTCACGGATTGACTTCAAATTTTAGTATGTGTTCCGCTAGGTCAGGCGCACTGCTGTATATTTTTTTTATGGTTAACCCATAATTGGGGCTGAGATACGGGCCTAAACGTGGTACGCGCGGCAGGGGGGTATCTAATTTCAAGTGATTTACTGCCGACACACAAGCAGAACACCCCCATACCCACCATTCCGTATTATTTGACCAGTGGGTACGCGTGAAACCTACATAATTTGTTTTTTTCGGGAGGGGGGGGGGGGGGG